GGTTTCCTCCTGCCTCTAAAACTGGACCTTCTTCCTAACTCTGTAATGTGATGCTGATAATTAAAGGCTATGAATAAATGTAGAGTTATTGGCACAAATGGTCTGAGTTGCTGAAAGCGCCATGAAAACATAAAAACAACAATTCGGACCGAACACGAGTTGGGCTTTCGGCACCCTCCTTTGGCTAAGGAATGGGCCCTTGTCTTGAAACATTCCTGCTTTGAAATTTAACGAAATATTCAAATAGTCTATATATTCAAATAGTCAGCCCTGTATTGTTCTTCTGCCTCATAATCAGTCATTCATGAGGGCTCCTGCCCAGTTATTGATGGTGGATTTGGGATCTGTCAGGAGCTATGCGATAATGATGGCAACTGCACAACCAATCAGAAATGTTGTTCCAATGGATGTGGGCACACCTGTGTCGATGCAGTAAAAGGTAATTGCAATTCCATCGTTCCCGATGAAGTTCATTTGTACATTATGTGTACAGCTTTAACATCTACAATGGTCACTAAACCACTTAACGCGAACCATGCAAAAGCCATGGTTAAGTTTGATATTAAAGTACGTGGTTAACAAGTGCGCAAGTAGTTTGACTCCTATGAATACATAGGAGTCAAAAGCAGTAAGAGACTAGTTGTTTAGCAGGCCTGAACCAGTACGCTAGGAGGCATATGGCCACATGGTGTGTTTCATCCCCACCCTAGTTGAAGTGCGCCCCCACTGACAATGAAGGGACAGGCAGTTTTCTCTTTAATACAAGTTCTCGTCGGGACAAATATGAAGACAGTGCGTAAAAAATGTTGGTTTGTGGCACGTGCAAGGAACGTCCCGTGCCAAACGTGCACGAACACACAGCAAGTTCCCAACAAAGGGCCACCGTTTGTACTGTATGTAAATACACACCTTAAAGTGAACAGTTAGTCTACTCTGGAGAGGCACAGCCAAATACGGTTGTAGCAACATGTACCTTGAGTAGCTTATTAGCATATGTTAATGAATGGTGTCACAATAAACAGTATGAATGCCCACCATTTCCCAATGAGAGTTGGTAAACAACAGGTTTGAATTGATCGGTCTCCAGAGCCCGAGTGTCCGCCTGTGATGTGCATGATGTGGTGCCCTCATGGCTACCAGCAAGACTCAGACGGGTGCGACACTTGCCAGTGCAACCATCCAACTGGTAAACATTTTACCACTTTCTGCTTCGAAGTGACGGCACCCAATACAGAGCAGTGTTAATACAAGATTCTGCTAATAACAAGGATATTTGTAGGTCCCAATCCTTTGTTTTTCATTGTTTTCATTCCTGATGATACAAGATTCCTGTTATAACAAGGTAATTTGTCAAGTCTTAAGGACCTCTTACTAACAAGGTTCAAGTGTAGTCCATACAGTGGCCATTCATAGCATAGCATCCAGTGCATTGCTAGCTGTCCAAAGAAAAGGCACTTGAGTGCCTTCACTCGAAATCGTGCCGTTTGGAGGTTTTATTGCAACAACATTTACTTCACTCTGTGCAGGGCCCAGCATTATCAATCCTGTAGAAATTATGCCACAGACCAAATAGAGGTCTTGTAAAAATGATCAGTTCAGACCAAGTAGGTCGACCTGTGGCGCATAGGACAACATACACATTTGGCACTGTATGGAATTTGAAATTAACACAAGATCAAGACTTTATATCTATGATCTGATGTGAAGACTGTACCATTATATCTGTTCTCTGGCAGTGATCCATGCTGGTGAGTGCCCTGTCGTTGACGACGGCGCTGGGTTTGGCGCCTGTGTCGAGGTCTGCGATCACGACGGGAACTGCAGCACGACCCAGAAATGCTGCTCCAACGGCTGCGGGCACACCTGCATGGAGGCAGGGCAACCAGGTGATAATATGTTTCCATAACTATATTGTGGCGCCGGGGGCCGGCCAGCCGGGTGGGGGTGCCAGTCTGACTCCACGGTGGTGTGGCTGGCGCCCTTGCTGGACCAACTGGGAGACCCCGCCGCACCAGCGCTAGGAGGCGTGTTTGGGCGGCCTCGAGGTTGGTTTTTGGTTGTGAGTCATCGGACGGACAAGTTGATTGTGGTGCCGAAATAAACAAGTTTTGCCCTCGAAAACAGGAGTCCTGAACCTAGTGTGCTTTCTTACCGCCGTGTGAAACCCATTAGACCGTCGGAGCGTTTCAATATTATAGTCGCAGGTGTGTGTCAAGGAACATTTCTAGCTTTCCTGGAAAGCAAATGAAGGATTGGGGTTTGGGTTGACGTATGAGGGCATTGTGTGCAAGATATGAGGGCACAGTACACCATGCTAGAATGTTCCAGGAACTGGTGGATTCCGTGATGCACTCTCCTGTATTTGAAGGCAGTTCTTGAAAAAAGTTGTGAAACTAAGGAAGTGATTCTTTCTTTTTTTATTCTTGGCTTTTTCATAGTATCAGTCGGAAGCTAAATGGAGTTTTGTAAAATCCCCTTCCCAACATCTGCTACTAGCATCAGCTGTTTGAAAACTAATGTTTTCAATTTTCTTTGGATTAGAAGTGTGTTTCACAGATAGACACTAAGTGGGTAAATATGAATATGTCTTAGGTATGAAATTCACCTCAAGTATCTTTTGGGCATGTAATGATATTGAAATGGGTTGGTCTTGGTTGGTTACAGACCCTGCTACTCTGGGATGTCCGGGCGTTACCCCCAACCAGCTGAGTGTGTGCGTCACCGACTGCAGCATGCACACCGATTGTAATAACTCCCAATTGTGCTGCCCTAATGCCTGTGGTCACCAGTGCATGGAACCAGTGACTGGTAGGATACCGAGAACCCCTTCGCTCAGCAGCACACTCGTCAACATCGTTTCTGGCAACCCATAATTTGTCAGCAAGACAATTTGAAAGTAACTCAGAAAATTTGAGTTTGGACAAGGCAGTAGCTCAAGTCATCATTGAAGTTAACTCTTCAAATACTGTAATTTCAAAGGAAAAGGGAATTGTCAGTAGTTTTGAATTTCCACAAAAGCAGTGTTTCTTGACTGGATTTGGTTTATGGAGATCTTAATTGGGCCAGTGAATTCCTAGTACATATCCTGTTATGTTTGTGATTGTAGGTCTTGCTCATAAGTCTTAAAGGCAGCTGCATTATACACGCATATGCTGCTCTTTGACTCTTCAATTCGATTTGCATCATATAAGTTAACAGCTTGATAAACACTGAACTTATATGCCAGCTAAACTTTACATTTCCTTCTGGCATTTTATGGATTAATGCATGCTATAAATGTGTATATTGTTTGCACATTGTTTCCCAGTTCATCCAGGCACCTGCCCAGTTGGAGACCTGTCGACTGGCGTCAGCGGGATCTGTTCTGAGCTGTGCCGCAACGATGGAGACTGCCCCTCTGCCGATCAGAAGTGTTGCTCCAACGGTTGTGGTCATGTTTGCGTGACTGCCAACCCCACTCCGGGTATGATGTAAAAATCAAATTGGTTGTGTATCTCAAGCCTATAGTTTCCATTGGTAGTAACAGCACGCAAGTTGTCAAGATGCAGAGAGTTGCAGAAGAGACTTATCAAATGACAGAATTAAATCCCATTTGTTTATGAGCCAAGAGCTGGGGTGCAATTTTCCTATAGCACCAGAGGCTCCTTTGGAAGGAACTGCACTTCGCTGCTTCATAAATGGCCATGACATGCGTGCATTGTGGTCGCATAGCTACCAATAAAAATGAACTCTCCCGACCAGCATGGCTGTTTTTCAACCATGAGGGGGTGCTTCTGCTCATGGCGGATATAATCCTGCTAAGTGCATGGCCATTTCACACGTGAATTCACATGCTCTCTGTTGGCCAATTCTAGTCAGTGGGAAAATCATGTGATCATGGAATGCATAGTGTTCCCTTTGTTGCGTCGGGGAATTTAAATGCCCCTCTGAATATACGAAGGTTTAATTGGTTTGGTATATGAAGAATAAAAGACAACCATAAAGTCACAATGAACCTGCACACCAGTGGGTGTCGCAAGCCTTTGTGCACCAGTAGCTGCATCGCGCACTTTCATGTGGGACATAGTGGGTCGTTGCTTGCGTTAAAGGACAGATTGTACTATGTAAATGTGAGTTGTTGTTTCCTGACGGAAAAAATGTCAAGTACATTGTATTTTATTGGAATGCATTGGTAATCGTGGATGTATTGATAGATTAGACTTCATCCTTAAGTCAAGGTAAACATCAAATTTGGGTCTACATTATTTCTGAAATCTCAGTCAACAACTTAAGATTATAAAGACAAACAAACAAATAAACTGCAGTGGGACTTGGACCTGCGACCTCTGGAATACCGTACTTGTTGCTCTACCAACTGAGCTGTCCAGCCCCAACATTGGTAGCTCTTCCAATTTGTCGATGTCTTTGTTCGGGGGTGCTAGTCAGAAGCTACATGTATGTAACCTGGAACACCATATAGCCAGGGATCACGACCTGATTACATGATACAACCTGGGAAGTGGTGAACAGGGATCACTCAGGGAGGATACGGCTTTCTGAACACAAATAATGAATCAAACCGCATAGGGAAACTGACTAAGTGTGTACAAACGATCTTAAAGATGAACAAAGATGCAAAAAATGATGTTTCAATCAAGTCGCTGTCTCATGCAAGGCTTGGTGGTCGTAGCAGTGTGTGATAAATTTCGTGCTCCTTGCGGGGGGGGACTTTCAGGTGTGATTATGGAGATCGAAGGAAGAATTTTGAAGGTAAATATACAAATTTGATATTTCCCTTTTCAAGAAAGTCTTGATTTTTCTATTAGATCTACATGTAGATAAAGGATATGACATGGGGTATGACACATTGATTTGAATGTATTGTACATAAAAACAGTTGTAGTGTAGATAGATTGTATGATTCCAAAGCACTAGAGTAAGCATTACATGACTCTTGACATGATAGAACTGGTAGTGAAATGTAGGCCTGTTACTGAAAACTTTACTTTTCAAGAGAAAGTAAACGCAAAATGGAGTATTTAATTACTTTATACACAATTATCTCCTATTTATTTACAAACATGACAAATTTTTGCATGCAATTCTGTGAACTTTTGATTACTGTACCACGACTGTGGCAAGCTTCAAAAGTAAAAAGTGAAACTTCAGTCAACCCATGTTCACAGGGGAATGTGATTAAGATTAGGACCTGACAAGTGATGTGGGTTCCAGAGCAGATGTACATGTACACAAGGATATTTTTTCAGTATTAACAGGGTATTCTCAGTCACAGGTCAATCATGTTAAATGCACGTGTCAAGTCCGAAGTAATTACATGTATTCACAGGTTAAGACACGTCGATAATGATAATAATAATGTACATGCCATGACTTTCTAGGAGCCTTTGCACATCCTCTTGGATGTGTTCTGATAGTGTAAACCAGCATGCTTTGCTTACATGCCAATACATGTACTGTCAGGATGTCTGACAAGTTGGACGCAACTAGAAGTAGGCCTACATGCACGTCACCTTTCACCAACATTGGCTCAGTCGTGTTTTTTGGTTTTGTTTTTTCAAGTGCGGTATAAATAGAAAAGACACCCCATTCATTCACTGCGGGAACACTGCTGGGAATGAATGAAAGCTATACATGAGTGCATGTACTAGTACATGTAGATAGTTATAAGAACACATGTATGTACATTTAATCCACATAACTGCTTATGTTTGGCAATTACATGCGAATCTATCCGGTTCGTAAGTGACTTCGTCACAAAGGTGGATGCGCCACGATTTGCAGGCCCCCATTGGACGATCACTGAAGTTGTGCGTTAACCTCCAGTTCCATGGTTCCATGTAAACGATGACCAATGCATGTACACGTAACTCCATGTGCATTGCATGTGCAGTGGGCGTGGTTAAAACTGAAGTGGCGTCACACTTACGAGCCAGATACACACATGGGCATGTGTCTGTACATGTACCAGTATTGTAAAGTACATCTCGTGCTCAAAACTAAAATCAAAGTAAAAACAGTTTCTACGATACTGAGGCACAGCAATTAATGAATCAAAACATGTACAATGAACTTTGACAAAACCATGACGGTTGAGAGTGAAACTTGAGTTGTTCCCAGTTCCAGTGCATATTATTGTTTTCTTACTGCACTTTCAGGCAATGGAAGGTTCCTTCCTACATAGTTCTGGAGTGGTGGCGACATGATGGCAGCGTATGGTGGCCGTGAGCTTCTGAAGTTCTCCCCTACTCCAAGCTTGTACAACCCTCTCGTGACAGTTTAATTCTGTGTGTGTTGGTTTCCCCGCCTTGTTCATTTAGTAGCCCGAAGCCCACTTTCAATCTGGCTTATTGCTCGATGGCATGATGAAGTCCAGCAGATGAAGTCTAGGTGTTCTCTGATCTGGGAGAAGTTGTCTATAAGCGGCCATGAAGTCCCTCATGCTTGTCTCTGTAAACCAAATAAATTACTTCTCCTCGAGGCCTTTCTGGGTTCACTGTTGCTGTTTCATCTGGGGCGTGATCACTCAGGTTGTTGCTCTTTGTCCCCGGCTGCCCCATGGAGCTGAGATAACTGCCTGTCTACCACATGGCAAGCACTTTCAAAAGCATCAATTTCTTGAAGACTCTGAGCGACATATGCAGTTTCGTCAGGATGATCTACAGATGAAATGAAATGCTAGAATGTTACATGTACATTGTATTTTTAATAAACAAATGATTAAACCTAACATACATGTATACCAACAGATTTTGTGTCAAATAATGTTGCTTCCAATTTACACGGTCGGTTTCAATCGGCACAAGGGGACAGAGAACACTTCAAGAAACATCTTTAGCACAATGCTGGATTCCTCCATCTTTCAGGAAGTGATGGCGGTTTGCTTTGCAATAATTATTCAGTATTATTGTGGTGGGAGACTGTGAAATGCATGGTGGTGGCAGACAAACCGGTCCTTTTCTGCAGTTGTGCACGTGCTCAGAACTAACATGTATGCCTAGAACTGCACCGTCGTGCACGCCCACATCAACCAAAAAGGACCGTTGTGTCTGCTGCCACTGCATATCTCAAAGTCTCCCATTACGTCCTGCAGGTGATGAAATTTACTATTTAAATTTTAATCAAACATGCATTTATGCAGCTACACTGGTATTTTTATAAGCATGTTTTGAAAAATTTTGTTTTGAAATCAAGTTGAAATTTATTGTGAAATGAAAATCCTACCCGACCACCAGTTGTTGTGGCACTGAGTTAGTCGATCATCGTCTTTTAACTTTAGTTACACGTATGTCCACTTCTCAGCAATATCTTGTACAACTTTTGGTATGGGTTCTCCATGCAGGCCGCATTTCACGTGGTCTTTGAGTTCGCTGCAGCAGTTCTACAGTTCTAGTTCTTATACATGAGATTGTGAATCCCTGCTGCCTTGATGATTACAAATTTAGGACTAGGCCTAGCTTGTCAGTAGGTGGAATATTCAATAGTTTGACCGCATGTATGACTGATCATATGTTCCAATTTTCCCATTTTTTGGCACTTGCTGCAAACGACTTCCAGGTTGTCAAGTAGAATGCTTAGAGCTCGGGGACTCTTTGTGATTTGTTCGTACTTGATGTCAGCCGTGCACTCTGGACACGTCAAACTGGACATGTCAGGCTTGTCAGTGATGTGCTTGAATGCATGCTGGAAGTATGCAGTGAGGCAGGCGGCACAGAAGTAGTGCTCACAGGGGGTCTGAACACATGGCCTGCTCAAAATACACTGACAAAGGCAACATATGAAAATGCTCCCATCTTCGCTGCTGGGGATCAAGTCCAAACTAACAGGCTGTTGCTTGCCCGAATCACTTGATGCTCCACCAAGGTGTGCAAAAATGTTTTCATCGGTGCAGCCGAAAGGACTTTGTGTGTCCTGTACCGGTTGACAAGATGCCAAAGATCGTCGTCTCTTGACGTGATTGTGTGAACCGCCCCCCTTTCCTTGCTTACGTACAAGCTCACACACAAAGCATGTTTCACTGTGTGGAGGCCAGTCGGATTGGATTTTCTGATTCACAAGGAGTTTATTTACATCATAGTGTCGAGTAGCCCCTGTGAAATGGCGGATTTTTCTGGCACATCTCTCACAAGTAAAGGCTGGGTGTTGGTCTGGCCTGTCGTTCCACGTACTCACTTGAAACACAGCGAGGATTTCCCTTCGAACAATGCTGCAGGGGAGTGGCTTTCGTTTTGGCTTTCTCTGTCCCGGGTGCAGCCTTTCTGTACAGATTCTACAAATCTTCCCGAGCGACACTTGATGAAATTGAAAGCTCATTGCGACTAATAACGCATTTTGCAACAACTACCAAAATCTGAAAATGGTTACTCAGACATTTCGTTGAGGAGTGAGCCCGCGCCAACAGTTTTTGTAGCGCGCGCTGTTGCGTTAGGTCGGCTGGTACCCGCGCTTCTTGTTGTCACGTAATGGTACATTATGAACCAGCGATCCAACTCGGACGTGATGCTAGAACCACCAGTCCGAAATCTCCCGGTGTAACGCGAGAACTCGTCAGGCTATTTTCAGGGTTGTTGACCCATGGAGGTAGAATTGACCCAACAAAGAAAAGAAATGTCGCTTTAAATTTCTTATTTATAATTCATGTATTGCCGGATATACTTTGTTTCAAGGATCGTTTTCATGTCCTCTGGTTAGGCCAAGGGCATCGTAAGTATCAGCGCTCGGTGAAATTGTCACCGCAAATTCACCCAAAATGTCTGTGGATGAATTCTCTTCTTGTATTTTTATTTCAGCGTTGTATTTTGACCAACTTTTGTCACGAATGACGGGTAAACCTCTGCACAAATCTATGAACGATTGCGACGAAACTGGACACGGCGCCTGTTTCCGTTTTGAGGAGCGCCTTGTTTGTGACGTCACTCGCATAACCGGAGTTAGTAAATAACAAACCAATACTCGCTGAAAGTTTTGCCGTGCCCGGCGTGCCCCGGCGCCGGGGCACGGCGGGATCGATGTGTGATGCGAATGCGGTTATTTCATGTCCTTGGCCCAGTTTTTTCCAAAGTGTTTAATTGCTGTTTTAATTTCAATTTATGCATAGTGAACCTGTGGTTTGTAATTTGTGGTATGCTTTTTGGTTGAGCATCTCCTAGTGACCGTGGAGAAAGTACTTTTACTAGGCCAGTGTGCTGTCATTCTCAGGCTTCAACTTTTTTCCCCCTATCTGATGTGAAATTGTAAGCGTAATAGTAAGTCTGATAGTGCCACAAAACATCACGTAAGATGTATAAAAGAGCCGGAGCCAAATGTTACAGGATTTCACTTTAGTTTAGACACTTCAGGCCTATACTTGGGTATTGGTTTCAGAAACAAGCTTGAGACGGAGATGGAGTTGAGTATTGAAAAATGGCCCATGTTAGACATGTTAGAGAGATTATCTGGTTTGTAAGTGTGACGTTACTTCAGTTTTAACTACGCCCACTGCACATGCACTGTACATACAGTTACATGCATTGATCACTCCATACATGGAGCCTTGGAACCGGACGTTAACACGCAACTTTAACGATCGTCCAATGGGAGCCTACAAATTGTGGCGCATCTGCCTTTGTGACAAAGTCACTTGTGAACCGGATTGGCTGTCAGTCGTACCAGTGTACAAATTGCTTGTTTTTTTGTGTGGGGGTTATTACTCTGACGACTCAATGAAGACAATTTTGGCCATCATTTAACATCTCCGACTCTTATCGTCCGTATCTGTGCCAGTTGCATTAAATTTCCAGTTGACTGCATCTATGTAGTTGACCTTGGATATAGACCAGTAAATAGGGCTTTGCATACTGGGCCCATACAGGATACATAGGGACAGCTTTTGACTTGGTCTAAGTTTTGTGGACGTCCACTACATTTTATGAACTGAAATTGTACCTTTGATGTGTGGGATTGTATACTCGGGGACCCCCCAGTTTTTGACATGTTAATCCTGCAAAACTTGTAAGCCCCCCCCCCAAAAAAAGCAAAAAAACAAAGGCAGTACTCTTTATTGTGGAGACCCAGGCTATATGTTGGAAATTTCAAACTTTGAATTGTGAGAAAATGTGACTTTCTTACTGATAAACCAGCCATGCAAAGTTTAATCCACCATGTGTCGCATTAAAACACAGTTTCCCTTCATACAGGTAATTTCCCTCAAAACCCTACCCGTTTTGACGTCAACCCTACACTGCAGTTATTGAACATGATGTCACAGCCATCTATCCATTATTGATGGAGTGTACATAGGGCCCTGTTTATGATACAGATGCTTGTGTACGTCAGGAACTGTTTAGCAATGTTGCCTGCATCTTTTAAGTCGCAATGGAAAACATGGCTTCAGTTACTGTCATCAATGATTTCACTGTTATCACTTCAGATTTGTGGTCCTGATTTCTTTTTTCTTATTCACCATTCAGACGCTTGCCCTGACGTGACCTGTCGGATGTTCTGTCTATTTGGTTTCAAGAAGGACTCTAACGGCTGCGACATCTGTGAATGCTACGAGCCACCAGGTACGCCACAGAAAAACTTGTAAATCGGCACCTTTTGTGTTGAGTTGAATTGTCAATTTGATCCTGTGCCAAGAAGTAGGCCTCGTACAAATCAGTCAGCTGCATTTTGAAATTACACATAAGTGCATGAACAATGGTAATGGTTGCAACCACTTCCCATGAGTTTTATGTGATTTGAAGCTGCAGCCAAATAGTTCAGACATGTCCATAGAAGTCCATGCTGCCTTCATAACATTCCCGTGGTGCCAGGCGCAAGCGTTACTAGGCCTGTGCACGTTAACCTCTCCAAAAACAGGCAAGGATTCATTATGAATTTAATCAAGAGAAATGGATATAAAATGTAAATGTATAAAACGATAGCCAGTTCCGTCTGAAAATGCCTGACAAGACGGAAGTCATTTGTTCATTTGATGTGTTTCAGCCGCTCATCCTGGTACCTGCCCCATTGGTGTCCTGCCTCAAGACATGATTGGAGCGTGTGTGGAAAGTTGCCACGACGACGGCGACTGCACTGCTCATGAGAAGTGCTGCTCTAATGGATGTGGCCACAGTTGCGTGAATGCGACAGCTAGTAAGAAACTCAAATACAATCACATATTTAAGAACCTTTCTTTCAAAAGAATGTTGCCATAACAAGGAAGATTTTTGTATGGTCACAGGACCTCCCACTCAAATTTTTGCCTCAGAAAAATGCCAAAAATGTAGAGCATGGAAAAGAATAATATCAACCCTAACTTTGCCATACTTTAGAGCTTGTCAAGAACCTTATAGTGCCCTTTTTTTATCTATTTAAAATTTGAAAATAAGAGAACAGCTTTGAAAGGATATCATTAGACCAGCATCAAATGCGTCTTTTTGCATGCTTCACAGGTCTAGTCCATATCTTTCAGATATCTTTTCAATTTCTAATTTTACCAGAGAGCTGATAATTCTGTTCATTCTTTATAACACGTGTGTCAAATTTGGTTCCGACTTTGTAGTCTTGTGTCCAGACTTCATGTGTGCTATCTACTGTGAGTACGGATATCAGCTGGACCAGAATGGCTGCAGCACATGCATTTGTCTGGAAGAGCCAGGTATTCAGAACACATCCAGCAAGTTTATTTTCTTGGTTGATATACCGGCATTTGTTCTTCAACCGTGCATACATTCTTGGCCCTACAGTGGAAGAAATGTTGAGTTTGTCTTGTTTTCAAGAGGAGGGCAATTTTGTTTCTATTGTGCATGTGTGGAGATCGTTATGTGTTACATTTCTCGAAAATGAAACTTAAAATGCTCAGGCTACCTAATGATAGAATCTTTCACAATGTAAAATTTGAGGAACGTGTAATGCTTTTCACTCCAAAAAGTGTCCGTTTTCATAAGGATGCCAAACTGAGGGGTACATCAAAACCAAGAGCTCAGTTTGCTCTTTCCACTCCGGCGGCTTGAGTCATTTTCAAAGAGCAGGTCACGTGGTCATCTTCTGTAATTCCCCATAACACTGTGGCTAAAACTTCTAACAGACAGCCAGTGACCCTCAGAGATGCATGGTTGATTTCTTTCAGGGTTATGAAAAAATCTCTCACCACAGCAGTTACGATTGTGTGCTGCACCATCATTGTATTAAACATTGACTGTTGTCAAGTGCCCTGCAGTAGCGTAGCGAGGGGAGGATGTGCCCCCCACAAATTCCCAGTGCCCCCTCAGATGCCCCCCCTCCCGCTGGAAAACTGGTGAATGGATATTAAACAAGGCTAACAAAAACTTGCCGCCCAAAACCACACCACTGAAAGCTGGTGCCCCCCACCCATGAGATGCTGGGCCCCCTTTGTGCCCCCACCAGTACAATCCTAGCTACGCCATTGGTTCCATGATCTGATCAGATTTTGTGAAAAGAGGGTTGTCTGCTGCCCTCACCTGTCAAGTAAGAGATAGTGAGCAAGTCCATCCTTTTCACATTCATTTCTTCACAGTAGCATTTTTTTTGTTCCAGACATCAGTGGGTTTGCACAATGTTAAAGACGCACATGAAAGTTCTTTATGAAGAGTATTTCTCTTTCACCTGTTCTTTGCTGTTAGAGGTCTGCAGGGAGGTGTTCTGCGCCATGCATTGCCCCTATGGATTCAAGAAGCTAGCTAATGGATGCCCATACTGTGAATGCCAGGACACACCCACAGGTAATATTGGTTGGCAAGGACTTTCTCAACTTCATCATTACAAATGGTATTTTTTCACAGCAAACTTGTCCAAGGTGTGGTATTGTTGTTTTAGGATGAAAACGTGTACCATCTTTATTGGAAAAGAAGATATCTGAAAACCACAGTCATTTGTCCCTCGGTGGCCACTCAAGGTTTGTGTGACCCTTCTTTTCACATGGTTCCTTTTTTTTAACAGTTTGAAACAGCGTCATATATAGAGCTATATTTACTACAACCATTGCTCTCTGCTACAATAGCTCCTAGATGTAGCACAGGGATGCTTGAAAGAATACCCAACAGTGTAACTAGACCATTCCAAGGAGATGTCATTTATGTGGGGCCAGTGGGCTCACATAGGCCTACGATTTAATTTGAGCAAGTGCACGCACTTATGCAAGTCACAACTCCCTGTTGGTTGGAGAGGCGCGCATGTATCACTTGCATCCAAACAGGATGGCTCCACAGTAACGGCTTCTTATTCTTTCTGTGGATTTGTCAGTAAATGCAGTGGAAATCTGTTATTAAAGTGCCGGGACAGTTGTAGCCATCGTCCATTACTGCATACAGACATTGCTACAATGTGATTTATGTAAACTGGCATGGAAAATCCCTGCATGTTTACACATCATGTGGACATGACGTAATCATAAACAGCTAGCTCACGATTATGTTGACGCTTCTACAACCATGTTATTTGAGTAGCAAACATGTTAGACACAGAAATTTAAAACACTGTCTCACTCACCTGGAAGATAGACCAAATGATTGTCTTGTACAAGTGCTATGCGCCTCTGTTTTTGATCGTTCGTCGTCAGAATGTCCGGAGGTGATGTGTATGATGTATTGTGAGACTGGCTACCAGAGAGATTCCAACGGCTGTGAAGTTTGCCTGTGCAATGAGCAGCGTCCTAGTAAGTGATTGAAATCACGAGTAGCCTTTTAGTCCTCATCAGGCAGAGTCTTTGTGCAGATGTCTGTACAAGTCCCGTATGCCTGTGTTAAGCTGTGTGCCCCAAGGAATTTGGACATCCTCCTCATAAATATACTTAAAACGCTCGGTTCAAGGTAGTCTTTAGGCTTGTCTAAGACAGATTTCTGGAGCCACCGGTACTGCCACAACTGAGTATCAGCATTTTGACGCAAAGCCCTAGCCCTAACTCCGTAGACACCAACATTTCGGACTTAGCCTCTGTAGTCTTATGGACCACTTCCATTGAAGTGTATCATCAGAGGACTTGGAAAACTTTACGTTACTTTACTTTAGAGCAGATGTGGCTCCCTACATTCAGAAGCATGCCTGTTGTCCTAATACTGATAGTTATACCAATGTATTTTATCATTACGAGTTAATTATTAGCATATCTGGATTGGAAATATCAGACCCATTTTGCAACATATGAATGCACAATACTGTAGGATACATTTGAAAATATTTTGATATCATGTTGTTTTACTGCTGACAGTCATAAGACCTGGGTCATGTCCGAGAGTCGATGCAGATGATGTGGAATTCGGGATGTGTGCCGACATGTGTGACAATGATGCTGAATGCCCCACCAATCAGAAGTGTTGTTCCAACAGCTGCGGCGGCCACCAGTGCGTGGATGCGGAGAATGTCCCAGGTAAGAGGGCCTGTGATTGGCATAAGGACCCTTTTTTTTCTTTTTAAATGAAGTTTTGAAAATATTTCCATTNGTGAATAGAGGGTTTGCATGGCTGCCATCTTGCAGGTCAGTGCTTCTGTTCCACAGGTAATACACAAAATAGGTTTGCCTGAGGAACAATAGAACTGCTGTGCAAGATGGCTACCCTTCGAAGTGTAGTGACACTTTTGTGACAAGGTCTCAGCCTTGCACTCTTTTTCCTGTCAAATCATAGTTCAGTTACTTCAGTATTCCAACAGCGCATGTCCTAAATGAAGCAAATCCCAAACTACATTCAGGACTCGCAATATGTGTGCAAGAGGTCTTCCCTTCCAGCGCAGCCATGTGCCAACTCATAACTTTGCTTTGTTCTTGAAGGCACTTACTTTTTGAGATACTAAACTGGCTCATTTTGACTGTGTAACCACTGTGATCAGAGGCAAAAGGTTAATTTTAAAAGAGTTCAAGAATCCTGTGTACATTTCTCCTTTACCACCACAACTCATTTTTTTCTCCGTGCTGGACAGTCATGAGTTTTCATGCAGATGTCTTGAAGACAGTGGGCATCAATTTTATGAAAATTGCAAGTACTGATGTCATGAGATGTCTATATGTGACCCGCTCTGCAAAAAGGGTAATAAATCATGCAGTGCCAAGACATGTTATGACCTGTTCTATTCGGAGAGGGCAACATTTCTTCAAAAATGTGTTTTTGTGTTTTTTTCATTTAATACTTTCTATAATTTGTATATTTCCAGAATTTGTGACTACAAACATGGATACTGATGAATAAAGATGGAAAATTGATCATTCATTTAATCCTACATAGCATTGTGTTCCCAATCGCTACAATTCAAGAGCTTTTTCTCAAATAGTGCTTTTATTGAATCCAAAAATGTGGATATACAAATGTCTATACATATATCCAGAATGCAGCGCACTGCAGGGGTCATTCATGTATCAAATTGTAGCTTTTGATGTACAGAATCCAGTCATATCAAAAACTCATAACGTGAATCTGGCGACTTATTACCCATTTTTCTAGAGCTGGTCAAATATTCTAGAGACATTAGGTCCAAAAAGTGTTCTCATTGAAGCATACTCCATGCAGGGGGGCGCCGACACATGTGAGAACACAAACTGTAACAAAACAACAAGACAAAGAAAACCGTTAACTGTCACTTTGCAGAGGAACTCATAATTGATGGGTTTACATTAATGCCAGGCTTTAAAAAGATTTTAATGGGGCAGCTGTTGGGTCATGAACGGGATCGCAGAACTTGATCACTGATCACTCAAGTGTACATGCTAGCTCTTTTAACTCCAGAAAAAAAAGACATTTTTTACTCATGCATTTTTCAGACCTCTTTTATATAAAGATAAACATTCATCCCTATGTGCTGCAGTTGAGTGTCCGTCCATGCATTGCATGATGTGGTGCCCTTATGGTTTCCAGAGAGACCAGAATGGATGTGATTTGTGTCTCTGCAATCAACAAACAGGTAGGATGACTGCTGAGTGTATCAGTATAGGAGCTTGGATGAAACACTTCAGATTTTTTTTGGGAAACATTTCTATTTTGTTGGGATCACTTTCTTCAAAACTAAAAAGATTTCAAATTGTTTTATTGTTTTCCTTTGAAAGGCGATTGTCGTTAAAAGGGCACGTGGATCACTTCGTTAATCATAGATGTGATTGTTGTATCATGCGATACGTAAATAGGATATGTACCAATAGGAAGAGCAATCTCCTTGTTAACCTTGTAAACTTGTTTGTCTTATTAATGCATTTGTTTTTGTGTCATGTTGTTGAATGGTGCTCTAGTCTTGGCCATACTACATCACAAATACTCTTTTTCGATTATTTATTCATGGTAAATAGAGATTCACACAGGGTCCTGTCCGCCTGCTTCCGCTGACAGTTTTGGCGTCTGCTCTGAATCCTGCGAACACGATGGATCGTGTGCGCCATCGGAGAAATGCTGCCCCAACAGCTGCGGGGCACGCCAGTGCACACCTGCAATCATGACAGGTATAATTTAGAAATCACTGTAATGTCTGTGCACAAATGGCTCAGTATGTTAGTTTGCTCCACAAGGCAAGGGTACTGTGTGTCCCATTGTTTGCCGGAAAATAATGCTCTCCCATTTGACAGAGCACAGGCTTTTACAGCCAAGAACAAAAGATTGACTACCGAGGATAGGGAAATATCTTCAGTTTCCTTTGTGCAGTTATACCCTGCCCTGTGTCCAAAACTGCGGCTGTGGGTCATGGTAGTGGATTTTGAACGTGGTGTATGTTGCTCGAAAAGTGCTGAAAATGTTCAATTTGCTTGATGATATTTCAAAATTGACCCCTTCAACCATTGATATGGTTCGAAAGTTTGTTGCTGGTGGGTATACTTTGCCCCCCCCCCCGAAGTAATATGCCCCCTTTCCGGAGATATCTTTATTGAGGGGTATGCTCGTACTGAACAAATTAAGCTTTGCTGGTGGAACGGGCACACTACTTTAGCACGTTAAAAACAATTTTGTCGTTTCGGTGGGTGCATAGAAGTGAAGCCTGGAGCATGTCCTGAGGTTACAGACGGTGGCCTTGGCCTGTGCCTGGAAGCTTGCTCCGCTGACGCCAACTGCACAGGCTCCAAGAAATGCTGCTCCAATGGCTGCGGTCACCAGTGTTCAGAAGCTGTTGACAGGCCAGGTAAATCGAACAGATTGTAACATTAATTAGCACCAGCACCGTAGTGTTTTTCTATAGTACTCACTGGTACAATGTACATGTATGTCGTAAAGAGCGTGTGAGCAGTTTTGCAGAAGTCAGGTGATTTCAGGGGGTACAGGGAGTAACAGCCAGGTGATTTCAGGGGGTACAGGGGTAACAGCCAGGTGATTTCAGGGGGTACAGGGGGTAACAGCCAGGTGATTTCAGGGGG